GGCTGGACCAGCCACTCAGCCACTCAGCCACTCTGGCAGAGCGGCTGGACCAGCCACTCAGCCACTCAGCCACTCTGGCAGAGCGGCTGACGCAGCCACTCAGCCACTCAGCCACTCTGAGTGACTGAGTGGCTGAGTGGCTGGTCCAGCCACTCTTACCAGAGCGGCTGCGGCAGAGTGGCTGAGTGGCTGGTCTAGCCACTCTGAGTGACTGAGTGGCTGAGTGGCTGGAGCGCCATTGGAGTGTAAGCAATATTACCCAGACCTAATTTTTCTTAGGTCTTGGTAGTATCTCAAGTGAGGTTTTATGCTAATTTAGGGCTTCATCCAGGCACTGGGGCATATATTCTTATGGGTTGAATGGAATCTTAGGCAAACAGGCAAGCATCTGTGTTAAAGGGTTGTGAGAAAGAAGTCATTAGTCATTTGTGTTAAAGGGGTTCGCTCTGTGGGTCTCTGCGAATCATCATGGCGAAAGGAATGAGACATTTGGTTTTAGTTCCAATGTTTTCATATATGTATGTTATTAAAGAAATTATATATAAATATATAGCTAGACACAAACACACCTAAGGTCATATCATCCACCTCCATCATTTCATCGTTTACCACTGTTCATTTTCACAACAGTTCATATCATTTCATCACAGTATCAACACAAAATAAAACCACATAATTTCATACATCATCATCCCACATCATTTCATCATCATCCATCATCACATAAATTCATATCATAAAATTTCATCATAATGTTTCATCATAATATATCATTATAACATAATATCATAAATCTAAATAATCCACGTCTAACATTCCTGTGTTCGTATCATAAATGTTCATATATTATGATATGAAAAATTATGGGGTTAAAGTCGTTTAAAGCTTTTTGGTGTAATGGTTTTCCAGATTTGTTTCAATTTTGCAATTCTGGTTTCATCATCTTTTAAGTATTCCTCCATATATGTTTGTTTTTTCTCTTCTTCCTTTTTGAGTTTTTCCTTGTTGGAATGCCTGTCGGTTTTAAGATGTTTGGACAACCTGCATTGTTTCACATGCCGTTGGCAAATGTCGCAGAATACTTCCTTTTGATTATATACTTTGTTACTCTCCTTTTGTTTGTCCAAGCATTCAATACACATTCTATTCATTCCATTGAACTCGTCACCATGTTTGTTTTTCTTACACTTTGTGCACTTTCTACTCTCCATACTATTATAAGGTATTATCCATTTAATTTCAAGTGTATTTCGTTATATCATAAAAATTCATATTATCTGATATGAAAATTTATGGGGTTCAAATATAAATTCCTTGTTGCATTCTTTCATACACTTTGTCAAACTTATTCTCGTCAATAATTGTATTTCCAATAAACTGTTCATTGTCTTTGATATACAACAATATTTTTCTTAAACTATATACAGGTTTCATGATTAAAGTTATCATCCATACAATCAGCATCATTAATATTCATTTCTAACATGCAGAATGCAACAGTAGGATATGAATTGTTAAAACATTTTTTTCAATCCTTGTCCATAATCTTGATAATGTCTCATTTCTTTTTCATTTAATATTAAATTCATTTTATCATCTGGAAATTCATTCACTAAAGTATTATAAACGTATATTTGAATTTGCTCATCAATATCATCATCGTCACAAGGGCTAATATCAATTTCAATTGAATCAAAATGACTCATTATATTTGAGCAACTTTTACAGGCTACATATTCACAAATTTTATTACCAATACCATCAGTAAAATTATTTTTGATAATTCATCTTATTGTTGCATATTCACTACATTTACAGCTTAATATTTTTGTTTGATGTATTCTTCTTGGTTGATTTCACGTTCACTACTTGTATCACTGAATGACATTTCGCTAATATATATATATATATAGATAGATAATATTCCTTTAAGTAGATTTCCTATAAATGGTAATTTATATGTTCAGAAGTTCATGCCTTAATAGTGGTCTATTGTATCCTTCTAATGTATAATATGTTTGATTCAATTTTTCATCAGTGGACTCTACTGTATACTCACCTTTCAAAAAGTGTGAGGTTCTCTCCTTCTCCGTTGTTGCTTTCTTCCTTTTGATTTTTACTTTGTCTCCCACAGATAGTTCAGGATAGAGCCTCTGTTTCTTTGCTTTCATTGCAATGTTTAATTTTGATTTGAATTCATTGTCTTTATCTCTGGCTTTATACGGTGTTTGACCAGTAGCGGAATGCACATCTTTATTATTGTAAGTTAACATAATTTCATCTATGTAGTCTATCCATTGTATATTCGTTTTTTATTCTTTTCATCGTTCTCAACTCTTTTGCATAATTTGTCTTTAAAGGTTTTTATAAATCGCTCGGCAAAAACAGGGTGGCCTCTTGTCCTATACAATTCAATGCTTTCGTTTTCTACATATGCTTGGAATTCACCACTTGCTATAGCTTTCTCGTCGTCGGTGTATATGATTTCAGGTTTCTTGCCCATCTTCTCTATCGCTTTCTTTGTTCCTTGAACAACACTGCCTGTCTCTTTCCTTCTTACTGGGACTACGACAGCATACTTACTCAAACAATCAATAAAAGGTAAAACAAAGATACAGAGCTGGATTAGTCTGTATTGAATACAGACTAATCCAGCTCTGTATCTTTGTTTTACCTTTAAATATTTTTTGGAAATAAAGAATATATCAACTTGGTATCTATGATTGTTATGTGGAGCAACAAAGCTGTTATAGCCTCTCGGGTTCATTTTTATCTCTACACTTTTTTTGAAAAAACCTTCAACATCTTTCATAGTAATAGATTTGTTTTTCTCTCTTGCATCCTTCAAAGTAGTGTTTTTGGAACCAAACCCTGCTTTATAAAATATATGTTTCCTATGATTTCTTGCTTACTCATATCAATATTTTATTAAGGTTATTCTTTTGAAAAAAATCTATAGCGACGGACATATACTTAGAACATCAATTTTTCTAAAATTTCGGAACCTTTTCTTAGAACATCAAAATTACTATACTTAGAACATCAGAAATGTTCTAAGTACGCACTTAGAACATCAGAAAAACAGATACTTAGAACATCTCCTTTGATTTTTTGCATACTTAGAACATTAAAACACACATATACTTAGAACATGTCCTGTTACTTTGGTAAATCTGCATGTATACACACAAATACCTTGGTGAACACCATACTTAGAACACTTTCTCCCCTCACTGCTGCAGCATTCTATACCTTTTCTTCGGGAACAATATCCCAAGCAGTCTTCGCTGCAATGGGAAGGTCTCTAGTATATAATTTGTGGGTTTCCTACAGGGGGTAGTCAAAAAGCATAGGTTTCAATACTAAAATGAGCTAAAATGAAGTATGTATAATTTTGAATGTTTTGGAGATGCCTCATAGTGTATATATATTTATAATTAGCGACGGACAAATATTTCGAACATACATAAATGTATGGTTCCCATTGGTTCCCCACTGGGATGTTCTAAGTATAGCTTGGAAATGTTCTAAGTATAGGTTTTGGGTATGTTCTAACTATTTTTTTCGACCCCATACTTAGAACATCCCCGCTGTGACGATTTTCAGATTTTTGTTTTTCCAAATGATGTTCTAAGTATTTGTCCGTCGCTATAATGTGAAGAAGAATTGCAGTGGCAACAATAAGCCTCGCAGTTGTCAATAGAATGGCGCAGTCCATTATCACCTCTCTGCGCCGTAAAGTTACTTGACAATTTGCCACCTCTGGTATCAAGATTAAATTTAACTCCACAGTTTGCACAACAACCCTTGAACATCTTCAAACATGTTCATCAATGTATTCATCAACTATTTCTCTTCCTCCTTTTCTGTTTTTCCTTTGTAACCTTCAACCTTGTTTTTAAAATAGTTAACTACCAAATTCTTAAACATATCTTCGTCGGCTTTATCATTTTTGAAAAAATACATTATTGAAATCTGTTGCTCTGGTTACAGCACACCATAGCCATTCTTTGCTCACCAAATAGTCGTTGCAATAGTTGTTTCCAATTAATCCTGAACTTGTAGAGTTCATCACCACTCTCCTTCTTTTTAAGTGATTTCAGGTTATGGTTCAAAGTGTATATGTGGTTGTTCTTAATCAATCCGTTGAAGTTATGTAGCCATGGCAGTTGAAGTTTAGAGGGTTATGTTTGTAAATCAAGTTGCTGTCAATGTCATATACTCTTGCTTGGATATTGAAATGTTTAAAACTTTATCCGTCCATTTCATTGATTGATGACTCTGCCACACCCAGCCGCTCTGCCAGAGTGGCTGATGCAGCCACTCAGCCACTCTGCCAGAGTGGCTGGAGCAGCCACTCAGCCACTCAGCCACTCAGCCACTCAGCCACTCAGCCATTCTGCCACAGTCGCAGCCACTAAGCCACTCAGCCACTCTGCCAAAGTGGCTGACGCAGCCACTCAGGCACTCAGCCACTCAGCCATTCTGCCACAGTCGCTGCCAGAGTGGCTGGAGCAGCCACTCAGCCACTCTGCCAGAGTGGCTGGAGGAGCAGGCACTCAGCCACTCAGTCACTCTGCCAGAGTGGCTGGAGCAGCCACTCAGCCACTCACCCACTCTGCCAGAGTAGCTGGAGCAGCCACTCAGTGGCTGGAGCAGCCACTCAGCCACTCTGCCACAGTCGCTGGAGCCACTCAGCCACTCAGTCACTCAGAGTGGCTGAGTGGCTGAGTGGCTGCGTCAGCCACTCTGCCAGAGTGGCTGAGTGGCTGAGTGGCTGATGTGAAAATTTCCGCCATTGCGCGTTCAATCCGATATAATATAATGTATGATCCCCAATATTATCTCCACTGTTTGAGAATACTGCGAAATCACAATTCCCAATTCTATCTCCGCTACATCTCTAGTAATTACAAATCCCCATTAAGAAACAATATTGTCGGTACATGTCTACCCCTATGGGTGAACATCCCCAAGTGACGCTGCTGCATGCTGCTTAATCACAGTCCGCTCTGCATGCTCATGTCCACGCCGGCCGTGAAGGCCAAACGCGCTGCATCCTTTCCGTCGGCTGCGAAGCCGTGGTGGATCAGCTCCTCGTCGGCGGTGTAGTCCTGGCTGTCATATATGATGCAAGGTGGCCCTTTGGGAAACCATAGGCAAATGAGCAAAAATGAAGATTTCATTAAGGTGGGGCCGCCTTTGCGAAACCATAGGCACATGAACAAGAATGAAGATTTCATTGGATTTTGATGGGGATACTTTAAGGGGATATAGTCATCCTGGAGTAGATACAATATGGAAATAATCCTAAATTCTTCAGATCTACTTGAAGGCTCATATGGGTTGCTAAGTATTTAGTCTATTTACTAAGTAGTTAAACAACTTACTATCTAGTTAGTTGACTTAGCTATGACAAATATAGCTAACTTAGTAACTATAATAAGTCTGGCCTATTTAATTTATTTCTTGGGTCGTTTCTTAATTCCCTTATTTCCAAGCCAGAAATAGGGTGACCTCGGGGGAAATAAGGAATTATGGGCGTCGGGTGTGAGTGTTTCCCGGTGCTGCACCAGCGCCAAATAGTCACCTGGCCAGAGAGCACACACACACATGTTAGAGGCAGCAATGTCTTCCCAATGGGTAATCATTTAACTTTGCAATGCTCAAAATAGGGACTCCTACGATCAGAGGTTCCATCAAGCGAAATGACTCAGAATTGAAAACTAGGTCTCAGGGGCTATCTCATTGATTGCATGGTGACAAATCATATCTCGGGCTACATCTGGAAGGGTTGGGCATGGAAAAATCCCTAGCATGCTCCAAATTGGCACCTGTCAGGATCAGAGGTCCGATCATGCCAAATGACTCAGAATTGAAAACTAGGTCTCAGGGGCTATCTCATTGATTGCATGGTGATCAACCATATCTCGGGCTACATCTGGAAGGGTTGGGCATGGAAAAATCCCTAGCATGCTCCAAATTGGCACCTGTCAGGATCAGAGGTCCGATCATGCCAAATGACTCAGAATTTGAAACTAGGTCTAAGGGGCTATCTCATTGATTGCATGGTGACAAATCATATCTCGGGCTACATCTGGAAGGGTTGGGCATGGAAAAATCCCTAGCATGCTCCAAATTGGCACCTGTCAGGATCAGAGGTCCGATCATGCCAAATGACTCAGAATGAAAACTAGGTCTAAGGGGGGAGAGGAGGGAGAGGAGGGAGAGGAGGGAGAGGAGGGAGAGGAGGGAGAGGAGGGAGAGGAGGGAGAGGAGGGAGAGGAGGGAGAGGAGGGAGAGGAGGGAGGGAGAAGGACGGTCCAAGTCATAAAAACGTCACAAAAATTGCAAGATAATTGAACATTCCCTGGGAATCGATGATTGCAAATATGCACATTTGAGGCATGATGTCAACATGTTGCATACGGAGGCAATGATGCCAAATGTTCAATCAAATTTATTTTGGAACCCCTTAGTCTCTGGATATGTTTTTTGAGATTGTGTGTGTGTGTGTTACAACCCCAGTAAATCACCTGGATTCTTGGGTATATTTCTAATGATTCGGGCTCAACCTCAGCTGGACTCAGCTGACTCATCATTTCCCACGACGTTCCCCCCAAGATGCTTTGGACAATGTATTCAGGCTCAGCTATGCTAAAATGATTTTCCCTTTTGGTTTCAAATTTGATTTACACTAATGGTGTTTCTGAAAATGGGGAGTGTACTTGTAGGCAACAAGACCCATCAAACAAAAAGGGTATGGCCAGTTTTTTGGACAGTTCGCAAATCTTAGAATTCTTAACATCCAAATCAACCCTGGGAGGTTCACTCATCCTTTGCAATCTTTACCTGGGTTTGAAGTGCGCCAATTGCGCTTTTGCTCTATGCATACGATCAACTTGGGAGTCTTGCAAGCTCTGAATGGCAGTTTGCTGTCTCTACTTTGTTCCCATGGATGCTTGCCAGTGGTTTTTTATTGTTATCCAATGTGCTTCTTGGGATATTTAAATCTTTACCCAAAGTCCTTTTAGAATACCTGCCCTGATGCCTCGCCCAGGATTTTTGGAAAATGGCAACATGATGATGGGCGATTCTCAACTTCGAAGCTGCTGTGCCAGATTCAGATATTGGGCCCGGGTCAATCGCTATGAGCTACTCGACAATTGGAATTTGGGGGTTGGTGATTGAAAACTACATCCTGGGAGGTGGATATTAAACATTCGGGGCTGTAAGGGGTCATCCCAAAAACTGATTTGGTCTGTTGGTCGAAGATCTCGGTCGGTGGTCTTCTGTTAGGCGCACTGCGCTCCAAGTGTAGTCACCGGTCTTTACCCAAGAACTGCATTCCTGATGTTCTCGGTAGTGCACCAAAGGTAGCCTTGAATCTTTGGCCCGATGCCATCGCCTTGTATCTCTGCCATCTTTGGTTGGCCCGATGCCGTGGCCTTGCAACTCGGCATCACGACCAACCGGGTTTCATTTCGTAGAATGCCACAGTTTCCCTGACTGTAGAGCAGGAAGACCAAGAAGAAGTTGGCCATGTCAACACGAACCCAAAATCGAAAGTACCGAATTTATAATTTAACTTATGATGATAATGTGTAGTTTTACTTCTGGACCCCCCCTCTTTTGCCACAACTTAGGCATTCGCAAAATTTCTTTACAACTGGCTTGGTGAGCCATGACAACGGCTATCCATATTTGACGTGCAAGGCCTACAATGGCCGGGTATTTTTGGTATTCTGAACAACGTGCCTTGATGCGTTGTTGAATCAAATCGGTGATGATCAAGAAGTTACCCTTGCACTCAGCACAAGCAAAGCTATGTGTGTGAGCTTTGACCGTATAGAAAGATATGGTCGCTACTTGACAAATTCGGAAGCCCGGGATTTGCATGATGCACTAATGGGTACCATATATGGTTATATAATATACCAAAAATTGGCTCTTTTGAGCATTAGGCAAGGCATCTCACGGTGGAAGTTTATCCCCCAAACTACACTGTGTAGTTCACGTAGCTGAGGATGCACTTGCATTCAAATATAATTGCAAGTACCACCATTGTTTTAAAGATGAAGACAAACATCGGCCTTCTAAAAAAGTTGGCAGTGATGGTGGCCAAACCCCTTATGGAATGGCGAATCCTTTTGAGCTGGCAATTGAGATTGGTATCATGGATCCCAGGAACAGGATAATGATAAAATTCCAACTTCAAATTCTGTTTTCATGGTCCAACCCAACTTAATAAAAAAATCATTATGTGTTGATTATAATTTGGAAACCTGTTCCTCGATCCCACACCAGTTCAACCGAGATGCTGAGTCCAACTCGCTGTTGAGTGCCAGCGAAAGGGTCTTGACTTGGTGGGTTGGCTGGGACCTGCTGATGGGTACCCCCTAGGGATATCTATAAATTAAAGATGTGATGATCACCAATAGGATTAATACACCCTTCTAGCACATTATGGGAAGGAACATCCTCATGTTTGATGTTTGAAGCCTTCAAAACCCAGAAATTCAAATCCCATTAGATTAATGGATATTACCGTTAAATGGGGTTACCGCAAATGATCGTGATTTTTATAGTCGGTATGCATTATACATAGTCGGTATGCAAAAAAAAACACCTACATCAACAAATGACTGCAAATAAGTAGACCGAATGATCCCTAGGGATTTATTAGCATTTGATATTCTATCTATTTCAGGATGACTATATTTACATAACCAACATTATGATAATATATGACATGTGCATCGGGGATTGTAGTTAAGCAGTAGTATCAACGTGCCCGAGTTTCTTATTCAGAAGCAACAACAAGGAGATGTAAGCACCAAAAAAGTCGGAATTGATTTCACCGAGCACACATTTGTATTTTTAGGATTTTATAGTTGATTTGTGTGAGCTAAGTTGGTTTACTTCATATTAGGCAAACACTTCGGCGATTGTAACTATAGTTAGATGTGTTTATAACATGAACCAACTTATAACTAGGGGGCACCACCTTGCAGCATCTGGGGGACTGAACGAAGGCTGCGGTCGAACATGCCGTTGGAGCAATGAAACATGGGGTGGGGTCCCGTATCAACCATTTAGGTTAAACTTCTTTCCCCATGATGTGGGGTGAATGATGGTTGTAATGGCTCTGTAAACAAGGCAACCGGTTGACTTGGCGCCCTTGCAAGGGTGACGAATTTGAAATTCTGATTTTTGAGGCTAAGAGACAAAATGCTGGTATTTGCAGGAGTCGTCAAAAAATGCTTGCAACATGGACATTCATTTCGATTGGCAGGCGTGTGACTCAAGAGTGAAAAGTTGCGTTTCGCCTGCGCGGTGACTCAATTTTGCTCTTCAAGGGTCACAAAACACATTAAAAATCTATGATTTTCAATCATCCGAATCATATCAGGCCGACATTCACTCATCCAGTTGTTTCCTCTTCTCGACGCTTCAGTGCCAGAGCGCCTGTGGCAACGCAGAAGCCACAGACTGCAACAAGGCAGCATTGTCACGCCATGTCCAGCTGTAGGCCCAAGTGCATCTTTTTTTGTACACTTGTTGATTGTTTTTGACATAGGTCGCCATTTTCTGAGGCGTTTCCATGTTTCATCTATTTGTTGAGTACCAGCAACAATGGTTCTATAGGATTTACCCCACAAAGGACCTCGAAAATGATAAGTCTTAGTAAAGATATGTTGTTTGTGGTTGACTTGGGCCATCTTGAATCTTTTGTGGGGAGAATCCTTGGTGCCAAAATAGGTTCACGCAAGAAATCCAACAAAAGCACGTCAGAAAGCACGGCAACATGTTCCGTAACGTAAGGGAAATGCTCGTCAAGGGCGTTAATACACCCCCCACCCCCCTGATGATCATACGACAGCATGTGCAACGTGTACATGTTCCATAATGCAAGAGAAGTGCTCGTCAAGGACGTTAATACACCCCCCCCCACCCCCACCCCCTTGATGATCATACGACAGCATGTGCAACATGTCAAAGACGCCAAAAAATCAAATTCTATACCCCCATTTCGGAAAGCTTCATTTTTGAAATTTGCAACCCTTCCAAGGGATCGTAAATGGCACATCTCAAAATTAACAACCCTTCTAAGGGCGCCGTATCAGCCGCATGCCATAAACAACCGTCAATGTGATTTCATTTAGGTAGGGGGATTGACACAATGGGAAACTACAATATGATTGAATGGGATATCATGGAAATACAATGGGATATCATGAGAAATTCGTTGCATTGACCCAACGCAATGGATTTGATCTGAGCACGTAAACATCGGTACAATTTTTAGAGTTATCATGTGGATACCGTACGACATCAAGGCGATATGATCTGCAGTTGGTCTATTGGATGTCCCAACATCAACCAGTTGGGTTCTGTGTTTCCATATCGGGCAATGATACCCGACTTCAGGGGATATGATATACCCTCCGGTAATCCCGTTGCCATGATGGATGTTTTCTATCCAAGTTTGAGCCCCCAAGTAGTTATGGAAGTTTCCGAAGTCACAGAGGTACCCCCAAAATCATGTAGAAACAGAGCATTCGAGTATTGAAACCCATGGTTTTAGATGTTTTGGGGAATCCTAACCCCCCATATCTCAAACTAGCGTCATAGGGGTACCAAAAACTAATTTAGCTACCTAAATCCCATTAAATCCCATGACACATCGTCATTTTTGCTGGTAAAAGTGCCTACCTTGGCGATGCCAACCTGTGGAACCAGCCAAGGGTATCACTGAATTTCTCGAAGCTTCCGAGACTACGAAGCCTTTGAACCCCCACTCTTTGCGAAGGATCTCAGTCATGAGCCACCTGGACCGCAAAGGCTAGGACGCCCACTTTTTTTCGCTACGATGATCTCGATGTTCATCTACCCAAATATCTCCAAATATGGTATGTCAATGTATAATCTGCGGCTTCCCAAAGATGCGGGGTACCCATTTTTAGCTGGATGGTGTATAGTGGGAAGTGATGTTTTTTTTGATGGATGAGGTAACCGGGTACCCCCATGACTTTGGGTGAGATCACAGAGGGTGAAACCGGAAGTAAATGGATCCATTTGAGCAGCTGAAATTTCTACCCCTGGCAGGGTTGATGATTAGTTCGTAATTGAAATGGGATTTTAACCATGAACATATGGGGATATTAGTGAATATAACTGATAGATGATGGTTGGTTGATGATTAGTTTGGAGATTATACTACCCAGTATATTGGGGATTATTTCATAATCCAAGAACGGGGGGATCACCAAGTCTCCATGTTTGGATGTTGTTTCAATCCTCAAAATGGTCAAAATAGAGTCTAGTGACTCAAATGATTTGGAGTTACTCTCCCTCTGCTGATTCAATCTCCAATTCTTGGTGGTCAAACTGTCAAACTGTTTGACCCCATGATTTTTGATAAGTAATCCTCCTTGTCTGCTGGTGAAACACATTTTTGTTTGATGTTTGAAACCCTCTCTTTGATGCCTAATCAGATCAACATGTTGTCGTTGTTCCATTTTTTCTCGTTGAAATAATCTTACATCCACAAAATTGGATTGTATAATGAAATTCTTGTGAATCCAATAATGTTCAACATTTAATTTGTCGTTTTAAGTACGAAAAAACATTGCTCATCAACATGTTTGTACTTAAATCCAAAATTCACCATGTTGGATGACTCAAAGGAAGGCATGTTAGCCATTCTTGGTCAAGAAACCGGCATTGTTAACACTTCAAGCTCTAGTAACCTGACAAACTAACAAGTAACTAAGTAACCAGTCTTGAGTAGAAACGAAACTTCCAACCCTCTATGAAAAGGTTATCATTTATCTTGGTTTCCGCGGCATTTCCACATGGTGTCTCCATTAACTCCCAATTTTTTCTGGTTTCATCCACCCAGATGACCTGTTTCCAGTGGCCGGCACACCGGCAATGTCGTTGAAGGCGCTCATGAGCGTCAGCGCGCCCGCGTCCAGCGTGGCCTTGAAGGCGGGCAGATGGACGTCGCGCAGCGTGGCTTCGGAGAGATCCACGAAGTTGTACTCCATGCCTTGGGAGCTGAAGATCGGGTGCATCTGAAAACAGGAATACTATGGAATCCTCATAAAATGCCTAAATATATGGAATAACCAGGAATATAGAATAACATGGAATAACATGGAATAACATGGAATAACATGGAATAACATGGAATAACAGGGAATAACAGGGAATAACAGGGAATAACAGGGAATAACAGGGAATAACAGGGAATAACAGCATGGATTCCCGGTATGGAAGAACCTATGAATAAACTATGTATATATATGGATATATATATATATGGTGCAGCGTTGGCCACCCCCCCTCCCCCCCCCCACCAATGGGTATGGGTGGACAGTATCGTCTGGTTCTTCTGGTCCCCCCCCCCCCTGTGGCCTGTGGTGGTGGTATGGTTCTTCTGGTCCCCCCCCCCTGTGGCCTGTGGTGGTGGTATGTTGGTATGTTGGTATGTTGGTATGTTGGTATGTTGGTATGTTGGTATGTTGGTATGTTGGTATGTTGGTATGTTGGTATGTTGGTATGTTGGTATGTTGGTATGTTGGTATGTTGGTATGTTGGTATGTATGTATGTATGTATGTATATGTTGTAATGTGTGTGTATGTAATGGTAAGTAATGTAAGGTAAGTAATGTATGTATGTATGTATGTATGCATGCATGCATGCATGTAGTATGTAATGTAAGGTAAGTAATGTAAGGTAAGGGTAAAGGTAGGCGTAAGGTAAGGTAAATGTAATGGTTGTAAGGTAAGGTAATGTAATGGTATGTATGTATGTACGTAGGTATGGTAGGTAGTAGGTAGGTAGGTATGTAGGTATGTATGTATGTATATACACCACCACAGGGGCATCATACCCCCCCCCCATCCCATGGGGGGGGGGTGGGAACACGGGACACGGGACCATATATATATATGTGGGTCATATGATGTCTGATGTCCATAAATTGCATTAAATGAGAAGAAACAAACAAGAACATGGGGGTCACCCTCTGGTAAACTAACATAACTACGGAACATATAGTATAGTATAGGTAAATCATCTATACATGGGCAATTTGCTATAGCTATGTTACTTTACTGAAGGGTTACCGGTTACCATGAATAACCTGTGTATCTATGTATCCATCTATCTATCTATGTATGTATGTATGGGTGCATGCATGCATGCATTTATGCATTTATGCATGTACATATGGATATATATATATGTATATATATATGTATATACATGTATATATGTATATATATATATGTGGATCATATGTTTATTAGTTTGGTGTTTTTAAATGGACTAACCTATGGAATAATCATCAAAAATTGGATTATAGAATAAAATGTGTCCTGTGTCAGGTGGTATATGGCATGTATTCTACTAGCTCTGGAAAATATTTTGTGATAGTTTTCAACATGCCATTCATTGGGGGTTTTATCCATCAAAAAACGGGCCTTGGAAGGGCGCCAGGTCTGGAAAGGTAATTTTGCTTTTAAAAAAAAAACGGTGGTTTAAGAGATTTACTTCTGGTTGGTGGTTTTAACCATCTTGAAAAATATAAAAGTCAATGGGAAGGATTATCCAATATATCATGGAAAATAAACAATGTTTGAAACCACCAACCAGACTTGAATGGGAATTTCAGGATCCTAACATGGAGGTACGTTAGTACCATATTTCAGGCCATATTTTGCTGGGATATTCCCTGAATTTTCGGCCTACCTCCAATTTAGGTTCCTGAAATGGCCATTGAATTTACTTGGATTAGATGGGATTATGTAGTTTCTATGGAATAGCTAGTTGGTGGTTTCAAATAAGGGTGAGTTGACCAACAAAAATGAGATACACTGGCCGTAAAACTAATACAATTAATTGGATGAAAAATCGTAGATTTAAGCACCAAAAATTAGGATTTTATCCAAAAAAGAATTCATATGGATTCATTGTTGATTTATACTAAATGATTATTTTTTGCAGCCCCCATGAACTAGTTCGATATATGTGCCATAAACCCAACATTTGTTGGAACTATCAACCAACTCAGCCAACTATGAGACCCGACCTGGTGAGGGGAGCTGTTAACTAAGGCATCATCTATGTTTGTGGATGAAATGAATGTTTTTGATGTGTTGGAAGAAAGGTGGGATGGTTCAATGGTAATACATGTATGTATGTATATATATAAATTATTATATTAATTATGCATCTATGTATATGTTTATATATGCTGTATTGTATATGATATTAAACTGCATGGAATTTAGATCTAAGTCATGGTATAAAACTGTACTTTAACGGACACATAAAATCGAGTTGGGACATGTCAGCATGGAACGGCTAAGTTTGTATTTATATAGCTGTTGAATGCTACCATGCCTTTTATATCCTTTTATATCCGTCTACTGTAAACAACTGGAAAGCAAAAAACAGTAATCACTTTGGTCTTAATCGGTAAATGGGTGTGTCTGAAAATAGGCTGCCTCAAGGGGTTGTCCATCATGTTCCCTATCCAAAATAAATATTAACCCGACATCGTCAGACAAACAACAATGATTATAAACCAATAATAATCATAACCATAACAATTCATGAATCATGGTTTTCATATATTTGCATGATGGAACCAACAACAACTATGATTATATAATTGTATATGATGTTTTTTGTTTTCCTCAAGTAACTGTAGTTGGGTAATGATCCAGCCTGCGGAGACTCCACCATAGGCGGCAAAATGTTTGGGGGTGGCCAGTAGGCTATCCTCAGCTGTCCTGAGCCAGGCGGCATCTACCCTCGTTTTTTGAACGAAAACGGCTTGGGTTTGGTGTTGGATGAAGTTCAAATTTAGTGTTTCCGAAAAATAGATGAGTCTCTTAGAACTCATAGATTTGGTGGTTGATGAGTCGTCGATGCACTATATCTAGAAGATCCACTATGATCCACTAGCATCCGATGTCAGTATACTTCTGCACAATTTCCAAGTCGACACATGTTCTATATCTCTCTCTCTTGTTCTATATCTCTCTCTCTTTCTCTCTCTCTCTCTCTCTGTGGCTCTGCATATTATACATCACAATATATCTATAACAAAAAATATTAAAACCAATCATTTTCAATACCATCTATAAACCCTTATTTAGTATAAGATCTGTTCATGAAGTGGGGTTCCATAAATATGAGGGGGATGGGTTCTATTACCAAGTAGTAGTTTCGTAGAACAAAAAAAATAACTCTTACGATTCGAATAGGTAAAGATTAATCATAAACCGCCATGAATTATTATTTTACCTGGCTATTCATAATTATATAATACTCAGGTATGACCCAATCAATAATTCATAATGATTAACTTATTACTTAACCCACTATTGGCAATTAGTATCTTTCATTGGAGTACTAACAATGACAACAATGACTGCAGTACTAATGATAATAAATAGATAACTGTAGTACATTTTTTTGCATATACCGAGTAACAATTGGAAAACATGTATATATATATATATACATACGTACACATATTCCATCAATATAATTACCACTAATTATTGAATCCCCAATATTTATCAATAGATAATGAACTGTTAATCCCATTATTAGAAGTAATATACAAGTATTGAATCCCCACGAACAATGAACCAGCAATCCCCAATTTACTATAGTAATTATGTCAAATCTAAGTATTCATATACCCAGAAATAATTCAAACATGTTAGAACATGCTAGAACTATAATTCAGTTGTACAATATATAACAAGTGATGATTAATCAAGTATATTAGACAAAACCATGGATATGTTGTTCGGAACTCAATGAATAATTTGAACCATAAGCCAATTTGCAATAATCCCCATTGGTGGAGTTCATCCCCAATGTTGATCAATTCAATAGATAATGAACTATCAATCTTATTATTAGAATCAATATATAATTATTGAAGCCCCATGAATAATGAAGCATTAATCCCGGATTCATTATAGTATCAATTATTAACATCCCAAGTAATAATTAAATCGATTAACCCCATTGTTGGAACAACGTGTTGTTTTTTTTCTATCATGTTCTATCGCCGAATATTACAAATTAATAGGGGTGATGAAATATACCCTCCTGTCTTATCTAACATAAATCAGGGTAAATTATAATATTTCACTAACCTGAATTGTTGGGCCATTTGGGGATGATTCCCCTTACTAACCATGATTCCAGGGTTCGGTCGCAGTGAGGTCGTTATAATTTACCCAGATAAATTAGTGTAGTTTGCCCACCATCAATGCAGATCATTTTCCTCCAAGGGAAACCATTGGGCAAGCCCACGAATCTATGCTTTCGTTTACCTTAGGCTAAATAACATAGATGTGGGCAACCAATGGTTTCCCTTAACATATCATCATTAGATATAAACCATGGTTTTCATAGAAACATGGAAAAGTGGAAAGATATGGAAACGATCATTACCTGGTTGGTGGTTTCAACCATCTTGAAAAATAGGAGTTCGTCAATGGGAAGGATTACCCCATATTAATTATATGGAAAATATTAGTCAATGTTCCAAACCACCAATCAGGTTAGAACTCTATATAATGATTTTGATAACATCATTAGATAGAAAACCCATGGGGGTATATGTTCAATTTCTTTGCGGAAAATCATAATGGACTCAATGGACAACTGGTAATCACATCTGACAACATAAGTTAAGCTTCATGGTGCTGGAATAATTACCAACATTTACCCCATAAATGATCCAGTTTTGTAGGTAAATATACTATACATGGAGCATATGGGATTTATGATGTATTTTTTCTAAAAATAGAAGATCTACCCTCTGGTTAATTAACATAGCTATTGAAAATGGCCCATAGAAATAGATGGTTTACCTATTAAAAATGGTGATTTTCCATGGCTATGTTAAATAACCAGATGATAATTTCTGTGGTGATCACCATAATCCCAGTGTTCATTTCTGATGTGATTTTTTTGCATTATTTCTGTGAACTTAGGTGATAAAACCGATCATTTCTGACGTAATAGAACATCTTAGAACTCTCTTTATCAGAAATAATCTGGTTGGTGGTATACCTACCCATCTGAAAAATATGAGTTCGTCAGTTGGGATCATTATTCCCAACTGCATGAGTGGAAACATATGGAAAAATAAAAATTATGTTCCAAACCACCTACGAGATAATATTCTGAAAACAGAGAGAATTTTCTCCACAACTTCAGTCGTCAAGCTTCAGTTCCTGGCCCTGGAAGCCCTTCACCAGCGCCACCGCAAAAGTCTGGCCCAAAAAGACATCCTCCCCGGAGCCTGGCTGCCAACTTCGGGAAAATGCGGGGAAAATTGCATGAAAATCGTGGTTTTTATGATGTTCTACGGAAGATTGGATGAAAATCGTATTTTTTTCCTGGCATGGATAGAATTTTGCAGTTTTTCATAGAAAATGAAGATACACTGTGGCTGAACCTTGCAAATATAATGATGTTTACCTGCAAACAGTGCCGCTTTAAAAACTTTACCCCTCACAAAATGCTGGCTTTAACTGCAAACATGTGGGGTAACCAACAAGAGTCAAACCTTCAAGAGCTGGAGACGTCATCAGAAACATCGGATTTCCACATGGAGGCGACCCATAGATTCTGCAACTGCCGCAACTGTTGCTGTAGCAATGGACCCATAGATTCTGATCATCGATACTTGTGCAAGGTGGGAAAAAATGGTCTAATATGGTCTAATAGTCTAAGTTGCTTCAGAATTCCAATATCTAGGATAGATGGTAGACATTGGATATAGCATGAAAAAAAAGCTATGGGCAAAAAAATGATGTTATAAACCAGCAAACATAGGGGCACCGCCTTGCACAAGCATCGATCACGGGGCTAGACATAAACATATGAATCCTCCAATGCCAAAACATTGGCTGCTTGGAATCTTTTACACCAACGTGACATGAAATTTGTGGTTCAGTTGATAATGTTGATATAGTAACCCGGGAACAAACTGATTTTAGCTTGAATCTACCACTATTTTGTTATAAGTTGTTTACGAAAATCTAGACTTTCTAGGGGCCATGGTGAATCTTGGATACCTGCCAAAAAATCTCAGTTTTAGCTGGTGAATGTACATTTTGCCATAGCAAGAAATTAAGGTATCTAACCAAGGTTGCCCCAGGGGCAGGGAGGCGGCTGCTTCCTTTTCTCAAGACTATCCGAGCGCCTTCAGCCACTCGACCCCATCGTTGGTCTCTGGCCACGTCCACCATGGGGGCCTCTTTGGTAAGCAGCCACCATGGGGGCCATGGAAACGTCCCATGCCCAGCTCTGGCTTACTTTGGAACGGATCAGAACAAATTGGAACAGATCCGAAGAAAAACACCCAGAACCTGCCAGAAACTGGTTCTAGTCACAACTTTGTAAATTCTCCTCCAATTGTTTGAAAGGAAAATCTTCTCCATCCCGTTGCTTGCCATTTTTTGAAGGTCAAACCCCCATGTTTGATAGTTAAATCCTTGTTTCTTATCAATGTTTGATGGCTAAATCATCATAAGACAGGTTCTTCAGTTTGATTCCAAAACCTCAATCTTTCTCCATGTCTTTTGACTCTCCAGCCATCTTAAACCTCATTTCGACTCGTCTCAGCCGCCGATCCAACCGGATCTCCGGGGCACGAAGGTCCAATGGATCCCCGAGGCCGTCGTCTCCAGCGCGGTGGCGCGCGCAGTTTGCTGCGCCAGCGAGGGCTCCCAGCTGCTGGCTTCGGCCAGGGGAATGGGGAACACCGTCCACATGCCGTGGATCACGTCCTAAGGACACGGCAGCTGTGGGGTGAGACCTGGGGTTTTTGGGGTTTTCCTGGGGGTTTTCTGGGGCGAGACACGGACGGCCCAGTTTTTCGGCCATCGTAAATGGCGAATAAAACCGGATATAAAGGGAAGATCCACACACTGATGGGATGATTTTTGGGCATGGATTCGATGTGTGAAAAATGCACATCCAAGTAGGGATACCCGTTGGGATGTTTGCGATGTAGTGGGGGTCTAATAGAGATATATAAGGATATATAGGGATATCTGGGGATATAATGGGGATTCAATCAATATATATATGTGTATATATATATATTATGATATGTATATATATATATAATGATGGGGATATGATCGGGTATAATATGATTTACAGTAATTGGTTGGATGGTTTGGTTGGATACCATCAGAATTTATGTGGATGTAATGGGATATCATGGATAATTGGGATTGAACCAACAAACAATGAGGAGTGATGGATAACCTGATGATTTCTAAGGATGATTGGGAAATGGGTTTGGACTCAGAAATGTACCCTGTTTCTGTAATTTTTGGAAACTGCGATGAAAAACTACATCTGTAAAATGGGAAATGATTGGTAATGGAAAATCCCACGAATTTCACCAAGTCAACCATCACCTACAACGTCAACCATCAACCAAGGAGGGCACAAGGGACATCCACGGTTCTTAGGACTGACACTTTTGGATGATTTGCTGGATGTTTTTGGATCACTGCAGGAATAGCAATGATGTCCGTAAGGGGAACCATAGGTTTTGGTTTGGCATACCATTTTCCATCACTGACATACGAGTATCAAGTTGTTCAATGGGGGATTCCACTGTACTAATCAACCAATGCGAAAAGGACATCAATTCAACCAGTGCGATAAATGGTCCTCAGGATTGACGCGGTCGTTCGTGTTTCTTGATTTTCTTGAAATGGAAGACTGATACTGAACACTATTTAAAAAAAAAAAACTATAAAAAACCTACCCTCTGGTTATTTAACATAGCCATGGAAAATGGCCCATTTATACATGGTTGACCTATTAATAGCATGGTGATTTTCCATGGCTATGTTAGTCATAACCAGAGGGTATATGAAAATTCAGATTCGTATGTAAATCACCGGTGATTGGCAAATTTCATGATGTAAATCACCTATCAAACTATAGATCGCCTGCTGGGGACCGGATTCACTGAGAAATGAGAAATGCCGGGATCGAAAGTGTGGGTTGCTTTCATCTCAGTGGTTTGCCAAAATCATCATTATATACTACCTATATATATATGTGTGTGTATATGTGTATATATGTATATATGTATATATGTATATATGTATATATGTATATATGTATTATATATATATGTATATGTATATTATGATATATTATGATATATATATACTGTATATATAATGGAGACACGGTGTAAATTACCTTTCCTTGCCTTGGATCTGGAAGCTAGGATCAAAGGTTCGTGGAACTGGGTCCAGGCCCTTAAACAACTGGGATATCATATATATCATGAGAAACTTGCCTCTGGTATATTTTGACGCCAGTAATAGAACATTTCACCATGTTCGCGATTTAGGGCTTTCCTGTGGGGTACCCCAATATGGATGGTTCACACAGGGAACTGGTGCGAAAAATTGGAGATGGCTGGTGACTGAAGAAAGCGAACGAAAAAACATGGAAATGTATCCAACAAATATAAACATGTGGACAAACAAACAGTATAATTTCAGTATAATAAGTATAATATGTTAAATCTGCACAGATATGATGTGGGTATTGTTCACCAAAAAACAAAAAAGTGGTGTTCTGGACCTTAACTTTGAAAGCCCCCATGAAACTCCAGCAAGCATCGCTTCCATAGATCAAAGGTATACCCAAGCGTGTTTCCTCCAGTGCAATTCGTTGGGCTTCTCTACCCTCCTGGCAGGAAATATGTCAGCGACAATGAATGTGACTATTGGAAACCCCTCTTCCGGAAGAGAAGAAATTGTCATGTGATTTTAGGTTCCATCATTGGGAGTCCAAAAACAAGTTCCATGGAACAAAAAAAGTCCGGAAAAAAACTGTCAATCCCATGGGCAATCGGGGAGAAATGCGGCCATGGGGCCTAGAAATTGATGTGCATCCAACAGTTTTTGTAAGTGGATAATAACCACTTAAACATATCATAACCCAGCTACAAGTTCTTACAGTACATGTGGGACATAGAAATATCATGTAATATACCCCAGTTATAAATGGCTTATCAATCAATCAACCACTTATTATGATTGGGATGCACTGCCACGTATGTTTCACCAGAAAATCGACCATCATTCCTGGCATCCAACTTCGCAGGTGAAAAAAAACAGCATTGGCGATGCTGTGATGCTGTGAGTGATGGTACCACACATCACAAGGACATCATTTGGGTATGGGTCAAAATTAGGTACCCCAACAATTGGATAGTTAATACTAAACTAGACTAACATCTGTGGTCCCCAAGGTCTTCCATTTTGACCCACATCCATTTTTTATGAATCGGACTGTGCTAAACCATTCCTTTCGTGGTGAAAATTCCTGTGGCGACCTTAGCGGTTCCGGTGTATCAATCCAGCCATTTTTCACCAAGGCTTAGCTGTTGGTTGAACTAGGGAACAACAACCCATGTGTTTCTCAGTAACAAATGGAGACATCTTTCCTGAAAAGATCACGAATAGACCTAGCCTATATCATCCATATTTATATACATATGTATATATATATAGTTATATATATATATAAACTATATATTAATATATGTGTATTATATATATATATATCCTAAGCCCCAAGATTCCCGGTCTAAAAGCATGGTCAAATACCAGTCCCTGCGACCCCATCCCTGGCATCCACGAAATCCCGGCTCCTTGACCCCGACCCCGTTAAAAATTGAGCCCACACGGCTCAGGCGGATCTGATCGACCATCTCATTCGCTTGGCGATGGTTTACCTGGGGTGTACCTACCCCGCAACGTAACGTAAATGGCTTATGCCCCCAGCTAGATTGAGGGAATATCCACACACACATATATATATATGTAATAATAATAGTGATAATAAAGATAATGATAATAATTAATGCTCATACTATTACTACTACTAATAATAATAATAACAATAATAATTATATATATATGGGATTATGAAGGTTATATGTGGATCATAGAAACCACGGATCCTAAGTGGCATGCACATCTAAGTAGGGATTCCAAAAAATTACTGTCTGTATGATATATGAACAGTGTTCAAAGCCCCAGTCGGTTGATGATTAGTTCGGGGAGGATTTATCAAAACCCCATATATTGGGGATCATTCAAATCCAAGAACGGGGCATCCCTATAGACCAACCAGTAAAATAGAATGACCAAGGGATTTTGAACACTGCTCATATGAACGTTCATCCCGTTCAATAACATCAGGAATCATTACCATTCAAATGTATGAATGGGTATATGTATAACCATCACTTATCACTGAATATACCTCATTTTTTCTAGTACACTAATCCCATTGATATGCCCAAAATTGGGTTTTTCGGAGCCCCATTGATTCATAATGATGGGTATATGAGGTACCCTTATATAATTATATATATATAATTATATATATATGATTATATATGGAGGTTTCCTAAGTCATGGGGGTACCCCATGGTACCCCTAGGTATCATCCATTTTCGATTGGGATTTTCCATGAAATAAACCATCCAGCCAGCTATTGGAGTATTTTAATAGGATTTTCCAGTACAAACCAACCATTATTGCATACCCCGTGTTACAAGGGTCCCCATTTTTTCGAAATGGCGGCGAGTTTTTGGCATCCCCTTGAGAAAGTGTGCAAGCCAGCGACGTGACAACAGAATCAAAGAAATGAAACAATTGTCTGTGCAAAAATGCCATCGTCTATCAAAAATAAAATACTAGTTCTTGCTCAACTTCCAACACGCCTTTTTCTCAAGTCATCAAGTCCGTCAGTCTATTTGTCCTTGCGTCCAAATCTTAGCCGTTGCTGTTACTTTGGTGAAATTTCCAAAGTAGCGAGAAGTGTACAGTTAGAAAATAAAAGGAAGGGTGAAACAAGAAACTGCCAAAGTTACCTGGGTGTTCCTCCGTAGTCGGTGAGTGAAATACAGATGTTGTAAGTATAAGGGGTTGGTCATACCATGTCTGCTTTTCACCAAGCAAGTAGGCAGGTTGAAGGTAGAGCGATCCTCAAAGTAACCATGATGGTTTTGTCCAGTCACATCTAAGGCAAGTGAACCCGTGAATCTAGGACACACGATCATCATCATCATCATCATCATCATCATCATCATCTCGTCATCATCATCCTCGTCATCATCATCATCATTGTCATCTTTTTCATCATCACGATAGTAGACAGAGATCTCACCAACAACGCTCCAACCCAAGGCCTCCGGATTGATGTCCGGATTGCATGGGCGGATGGTGTCCTCGGCACGCCACCGCCACCGCTATGACAACAACACGCTTGCTCCGCTTGCTGTACATCCCCCACCCCCTACTAAACATTACTAAACCATGGTTTCTGGGGTACAACTTTGGGCTTTAGATATCCAAAACCTGTTGACTAATGATCTCAAAAACCAAAATGTTGCGCCAGCAAGGTGGGCTGGCCACCTCAGACCATTCAGACCATGGATGATATGGCCATACTAATGAGGTAACATTCGTAAAACCTATACCAAAACTCTTTGGGAACGGGGAATAGTTTCTAATATCTGATAAACATGTTGTGAATGGGGTATGGTTATATGATGTATTATCTGGTCAATAATGGTGAGCTTTTATATGGTTATATAATGATATATATATATATTTATAGAAAAATGGTCGCAATATATTGGCTCATGAATACCATTATTATGATGTTATTACTATGGCAATTAGGGTGATTTTGTTTGGGCAAATGTTGGTAAACATTCCAGCACCATGGAGCATGTTATAATTGTGATGTTTTATGTTATTATTATGAATATTACATAATATCATGATGTGATTATGATGTTATTCGTATAAATTATTGTTAGATAGCATCATTATGAATTTATCCCTGAAATTATAGCCACTAGTAATATAATGCTATTATAATTAATTATCATTACTGGTTGGTGGTTTCAACCATCTTGAAAAATATGAGTTCGTCAATGGGAAGGATGACATCCCATATTAATTATGGAAAATAAAAGCCATGTTTGAAACCACCAACCAGATCACACATCCTGGTTATTTATAGCTATTGAAAATGACCATAGAAATAGTGGGATTACCCATTAATAGCATGGTGATTTTCCATTATTAATGGAAAATACCACTCATTATTAATGGTGATTACCCATTATTACCCATTAATAGCATGTTTTACCACCGTGAAATACCCATTGTTAATTATGATTTCCAAATCATATGGTTCTCGCCACCTCTCAGCGTCGTGTCGGATCATCGGATGCGCCACCTTTAAGACTTTAAGCTCGCTCGGATCCACGGGCAGCCCATTTGGGAAGCCGAGATGTGCATTTCACGGTGGTAAAACCCATCATGAACGAATAATCATATGGTTGGTGGTTTCAACCTAATAAGAATCATATGGTTAATATTAATGGTTATATGGTTAATGATGGTTAATAATAATCTGGTTGGTGGTATACCTATCCCTCTGAAAAATGATGGACTTCGTAACAGTTGGGATGATGAAATTCCCAACTGAATGGGAAAATAACATTCATGTTCCAGTCACCACCAACCAGTAATGATGTTTATTACCATGGGTTCTACCATGGGTTCTACCACCGGTTCTACCATATTTATGATACTATCCATGATAAATAAATATATGTTTTTAAGCAAACCATCCATAACCATCCATGATCATCCATGGTTCTTTTTAATAAAAATAAACACAAGCTGGTGTCATTTTGCATCTTTACATCATCCCTTAAGTGGAAATATACCCAATGTTCCCCAACTCAAAACCTGTGGAGATTTTGTTGGTGACTTTCGGGTGCTTCAGCGAGCCCAGTCATCGGGAACCACAAAAAATGGGGCCAGACTTGGGATTTCGCATCTGCTTGGGAATCTAACCGGATACATATTGAGATATTGTTCAATTCCCAGAAAAAGATGGGATATTGATGGGAATATATATATATGGCATATGAATGGGATATATATATGGAATATTAACGGGATACTAATGGCTGGTTGGTGGTTGAGCCCTATCCCTCTCAAAAATGATGGAGTGAAAGTCAGTTGGGATGATGACATTCCCGATACATGGAAAAATGAAAAATGGTCCAAACCACCAACCAGTGCCAACCAGGTATAAATGTAATCTGTGGAAACTGTGAACATCTATAAACTACCCAACGAGGAAATCACGAAAAAAACGCGCATCCACAGCCATTTTGTTGGAAAATGGGATGGTGTCATACTGCATGTCCAAGCCAAACGGACAAAGATCCAAAACATGACATCCGTCACACCACCTGGGAACTTGCAGGGGTTGGGAACTGTCCCATTTTGGGAATATTGGACATCACCTTATAGTAGCAATTTATAGACCATATACCTAATGGTTGGGTGATGTTCAATGGGTACATTTAATGACCCTGGGAACTTGTTTTCGCCAAGTTTCCGCCAAAATGGTCAGTTGCCCCGCTTTCTCTTCCAAAGTCATCTTACCGATGAGTTCTTCCTTTGTGCTGAGGCTGGTGTGCGATGCTGTGGCATCAGGGTACCATTTTGCGGCTAAAAAGTTGGGGGGTTCTCAACAGGGATCCCCAAGTCACCGGTTTCGAGACTAAAATTGTCTAATCACTTGGATGATTTGGAGGCAACCCTATGTTAGGAAACCACCATATGATATGAGCCCTCCAATTTCTTGCGGTTAGTGCCCATCATCTTGATCATTCCATGTCAACCTTTTATTCGATGATCTTGGCAAGCACGGGAAAAAACTCAATGGAAGTCACCGTGTCATACTGGAAAAAAAAAAACGTTATACCATATGAACAGTTACATTTAAGAATGTGTGACCTTCAACAATATGTTTAACATGCATACATTGTAATCATTGTAACATACCATTTCATGCTGAAACATATTACAATATATGAAAACATATTAAAACATATTAAAACATATAAAATATAACATACTGCAACGTATTTAATACACAAAAACAAAAACATACGATAACATATCAAAACATATTAAATATCATCATATGTTAATATAAAATCATATTAGACCACATTATACATATTAAGGCCCCTCAAAACAGATTATATGTAACGTATGATCATAAATCAAAACATGTTATACCATATTGTAGTATCATATAATGTAATATAATATAATATAGTATAATACAGTAAAATATAGTATAATATAATAGTATAATATAATAGTATAATATTATAGTATAATATAGTATAATAGCAAGAATATTATATAATTCAGTCAGTTCACAAACATTTGAGTCTGGGTCAAATGTTCAGGGTTTGAGCACTACTGCACTCTCAAGCATTCTGGGGGACCTGTGTCGAATCCTGGATACCCTTCGAAAAAACAAAAGTTATACAACTGGGTGAAAGAGTTGTAGAAGTGAATGATACAATTATCTCATCCAGTTGAAGAAAGTTCTGTTTGGCAAACACATATATCTAAAAAATGGAGGTTTCCTAAGTCATGGGGGTACTCCTAAATCATCCATGTTTTTTAATGGATTGTCCATAAACCATGCCTTTGATCCTCCCAGGACGTCACCAGGGATCGATGAACGGATCATCCCGCGGCAAAGCCATGGCGTTCGATACGACGCCTTCAACGTTTCGACCCAACGCGGGCGAAAGGTCTTCGGCCCAAGCAGCTGACGGCGCAAGCGAGGTTCAACAGGATCCAAGGTGCAGGTGAAGAGTATGCATTTAATGTGGTAAACCCAAGAAACCATCCCTAAAAAACCCAAAATAAATCAAAATCATCTGAAACCACCATAAATGTCTCAAAAACTCATAAACCATCCCCAAATGGTAGGTTTACTAGTGTTTGTACCGGTGTACGGGAGATCTTAATTCAAGTGCCACAAACCTGCTTGATATGGCACCTTAGAAGCAGTCATTCCATACACAGGTCCATACCCATAGTCTGATCAAGTAGCATCCCGAATTTCCAGGATTATTTCATTGATCATTACACAGGCCGTATGTCATCCCATCCCTAAATATGAAATACGCCCCAAACCCTGGTTTAGTATTGGATCTGTCTATTTTAGGGTGGCATTTGGGGGAGTATTTAATATTAAGGGAATGGAACTAGTATCCAAGGATCCACTCGCGGGAGTTTCAATGATCCGCAACAAATGAGACGTCGAAGACAAAAAATTACATCTTTATTTAATCATATATATATAATATATATATATATATAATATATATACACATATTCCAGGGGCCCTTGGAAAAAAAAAAAACTACATAGACAAGCTGCCCTGCATCACCCTGCAAATCTGGGGGCTTCAACCGATGGCTTTTTTTACAAGCTCAGCTATGGATGAACACCCAAAATATCTACTAGGAATCAATGTATTTGATGTTGATATATATATATATTATAAATTATATATATATTATAAATTATATATAATATATATATATATATATTATATATTATATATACATATATTATATATATATTATATATATATATATTATATATATATTATATATATTATATATATATTATATATATATTATATATATATTATATATATATATTATATATTATATATATATTATATTATATATATATATTATATATATTATATATATTATATATATATTATTCGTCCAAAGGTATGGAAATCATTGATCTCTCCATATTCGGGTCGTAGATATAGTCTGACCCACCTGTGACTCCACCCCTTCGCGTTTTTGGCCACGTCCTCCTAATTGCAGAATATATCCCTTATGAATTTACTGGTAAAGTGCCTGTGTGTTTGCATACAGACTGGTTTTCCGCAAAATCATCAACTTATTGCATATCACTGAGTCTTAGTGGGAAAACCAAGGGCTTTTAGGATGTTTCAGGGTTTTGAGTACCCCTGTTTAGGACACGCCCACATGTCGAAAAAAAAACTCCGTGTTAATTCTTGGATGTACATCCCAGTTCGTGAGTCGCTTTTGACCTATCCGTACCCCATTTTTAGGACTGAGGATATGTCATGTACTTCAAATCACTGAGCAATTAAAAAAATCTATGTTACCATCTCATCATATTAGTTGCTCATTTCCTCGGTTTCCTTACGGATTATAATCCCCAGCCAGGTAGAAAAAAAGTCCCCAGAAATCAACCCAGAAAAACCATTATGGAAATCAGTCATATCATTTCTTAGATTCCCTATATTCCCATATATGATAACCAGTATATATTAACCAGTATGTTAATCAATATATAACATATGATATTGATTTAACCAGTATATATGAAGCCATATCATTTTTTAGATTCCCAGAATTCTCTTGGTCTCTTGGTTTTTGAGCCCATATTTGATGCCTAAATCTCCATTCACAAAAACACCAATCCATCAGGCTATGGTGAAACCCAATGAATGTTATATATACATACATGTACGAATCTATACACAACATACACACAATATATATAGTGTCTAAAAAACAATATATATATATAATATATATATTAATATACATACACACTTGACGTCTATTTAGTTGTTAAAGCCCCCAATTTTTTGGTTGATTTCGTACCGATGATTTCATCATGGGAGGTTTGTCAGTGATGACCAATTCCTTGGATGCGATGCCTTGGGCTATGAAAATTCAGCGAAAACTCACCATGTTTTTATCGCCAAATCGAATCTAGAAATGGTGAAGTGAACTTTCGAAAGATTTTCTACAAGTTGACGTATGTTTACGTGCCCCAATTTTCGTTGACACGCCGTTTACGTGCCCGGCCGTCCAAGCCCCCCTGCCCATTTTGGGTGACATTCTGGAGATGCCAGAAATGCGACTCTTGCTGAATCTCTTCACCTACTCTGAGAAAATTGCCACGAAAACCGGGAAAGGTCAACCTACCCTCTGGCAAACATACAAAAAACTATGGAAAATCACCATGTTCAATGGGTAAATCCACTATTTCGACTGGGTCATTTTCAATAGCAAACTGTAACAGTCATTACCAGGCCGGGTAAATGGTGATCAGAGTCGTCCCCGATTCCTGGAGTTATCCCCTTGAGAACCGTAAGATGATCCTCCGTATGTACACCCGATATTTTTCAAGGATGATTTCACCAGTGATCATGATCAAAAATGATGGTGTTTGAAAATCATTTTTGTCATTAGTTCCGTGCAAACGGACCTATGTACTATAATTATAACTGACTAGTAGCTAAGAGTCGTTGTAAATTTACATGAATGTAGCCGATCTCTTGTTCAAGAAGCCAGTGCAAAAGCAAGCAGTCCTGTCAATAGAAGTCTCACGGAGTCATTTCTCACGGGAATACATGAACCGTGGCACAAATGCATGTAGTGCATGTGTGTATGTATATACTGATATCTATATATATATATACATATCGTATATGTATGTATACCCTCTGGTAAACTAACATATATAACTATGGAAAATCACCATTTTCAATGGGTAAATCCACTATTTCTATGGCCATTTTCAATGGCTATGTTAGTTTACCAGAGGGTAATATATTTACGCGAATCCAGCTTGATCTGCTTCGGGTGAACGAGTTGCGACGACGCGTTCTATCTCAGTCGATGGTGGATGACCGGCTGGGACCAGTAATCACAATTTTCCGTTGGAAACGATATGATGCAACCACCAGCCTCTGGCTACAGTATTTGACAGTAAATCAAAGGATATTATGGGATATAGTGGGGATATTGTGGCATAGATAGACTGTCCCTCTGGTTACTTAAACATAGCTATGGAACATGGCCCATTTCCTATAGGGTTTGCTGCCACTGGCTCAGAGCCATGCCAGCGCAACACATGAAGGCTCCAAAGCAAGCTCGTGAAGACAGTTCCCCAGCAAAAATTGATGTGACAAGCAAGTCTCCAGTTGGAGACATATCAGTTGTCACACTGATAAGAACAGATTTAGTTCGATGATTTATGATTTACCATAAAAATTACCTATTTTTCACATATAGTGATGTTCAAGTTCGCGAAGTGAAAGGTCATTATCAGAGGCTGCCTGGTAAAGCCCAAGAATTTCGACCCGCATTCATGGCGGATCCAGTAGAATTGGGGTTTCCAGACAGCCTGGAAAAATCTTACGAATCCCTTCCCAATATTAAACACCCCCTGGCCACGAAACCATGGTTTTTTCTTGGGAATTTCCACATTCCAAAAGGGGACCATAGATTTATGGGGTGTTTCATAGTAAGCTGATGGGATCATATGATCCATAGTGGATATCAATTGGGAGTAATTAACCATTTCCAGACAACCATTGTAATTGCATGTTTAACATGACCCATAATGGATATCATGGGATGTAATGATCAAAGGGAGATATGAATGGATATTGGTTCTGAATATGAAATCAACAATTAGTCATAAACCATCCCGAGTAACAAACCACTCTGGATCATAACAAAATCATCACAAATAGCATCAGCGGGAATCATCATCTCGTTCTCATGGAAATGCACAATGACACCCGCCATCAAGAATTGGAATAAGACCCCTGTAATGATGGATAGATCCCATAAAAATCGCAATCAAGAGGTGTATCGTTCATGGTTCACTTTTAGATCCACATGGGTTTGTCTGAAATTGGGTATCCTAAATATGGTGCTTCATGATGTTCCCTATTGAAGAAATAACCAATTGGGAGATACCCTCATTCCAGAAAAGCCCATATATAATTAATAATATATATATATGGAGTAGTTATATAGAAGATGATTTGCCCTCCGGTAATCAACCATGGCAATGGAAAATTCACCAGTTATCGGGAAAAACACCATTAATATAAATGAAAACTTCCATTTATCGTGGTAAATTCTCATATTTCACTCACCTGAAAAGTTCGGCGAAAAATTGAGGATGCTTCCAGTGAACATGGCGAATCTTAGATAATTACCTGGCAAAAAAAAATTACTTTACTTCGTGTGATCCCCACCATGACATTTATACATTTTCTTGCTGGCAAATCTTCTGGCATTCTATCTGACATATCTTCTGACATTCTATTTGGCATTCTATCTGGCATATCTTCTGGCATTCTATCTGGCATATCTTCTGGCATTCTATCTGACATGGCATCTTCTGGCATTCTATCTGACATATCTTCTGGCATTCTGGCATTCTATCTGGCATATCTTCTGGCATTCTATCTGGCAAATCTTCTGGCATTCTATCTGGCATATCTTCTGGCATCTGACATATCTTCTGGCATTCTATCTGGCATTCTATCTGGCATATCTATCTGGCATATTCATATCTTCTGGCATATCTTCTGGCATATGGCATATTCTCTTCTGGCATATCTATCTGGCATATCTTCTGGGCATTCTTCTGGCATATCTTCTGGCATATATCTTCTGGCATTCTATCTGGCATTCTATCTGGCTCTCTGGCATTCTATCTGGCATCTATCTGGCATATCTTCTGGCATATCTATCTGGCATATCTTCTGGCATATTTTCTGGCATTCTATCTGGCAAATCTTCTGGCATTCTATCTGGCATTCTATCTGGCATATCTTCTGGCATATTATCTATCTGGCATTCTATCTGGCATATCTTCTGGCATATCTTCTGGCATATCTTCTGACATTCTTTCTGACATTCTTTCTAACTTTCTTCTGCACATTCTTTGTCCCATATCTT